GATTTTGGGAATGAATTTTACATTGCTCAGCAACTGTCATTTACATATTTACAGTTAGGCATCAGACAGGCAAATACTTCTTAAGGTTTTTTTTAAAAAATTGTTGCCTGAATGATACATTACTTTGGGAAGGGGGGGGGATGCCAGTTTAGTGCCAGTTCTATTTGTAAGAAAAGCCTACACCATGCAATGAACGTGCACACTAGGTGAGGTTCATTTAAAATCATTGTTTATAAACTTTCCAGAGTTGCTTAGATGAGGTGGGTAGTGTAGAAGTTAAATATCTCTCAGAAAGTACAGTTACAATTTGTAGATTGGTGCTAGTCACTGTGATAGTAGATCCATCTTAAAGAGTTTTGCATTGGTTACTAATGGGTTTCCAAGTGCAGTTCGGTGGCTGTAGCTGAGTAATATAGCCTTGTATGATTGGGCACCAGGGTACTGCAGGACTGCCTATTCTCACCCAGGGTCAACCCAGCCAAGGAGATCCTTGCAGAATATATTGCTGGTGCTATGCCATTCTTGTGATGTGAGAACTGAGACTTGAAAACATGTTTAAACTATGGCATCTGTTCTTTGGAATAGACTGTTACTATCTCTAACCAAGACAGGTCTTTTTGCTTATAGCTTTCCAAAGCCTAAATTGAATATTAATTAGTTGTGAAAGTTGCATTCTTTGCAGTCAATAATTAAGAATTAATGCTGAGTCAGGTACATATCCCAGGATGGTGTATTCCACTCAGCCACAATAACTTGCCTTTTTCTTTACCAAGCGAGATACAAACACAGATTCTAATGGCAATGAGATATCCTTAAAGGATGGTTACCTGGTTACCATCAGTTAACTATCTCAGTCCTTAACAGTGTATGGTTGCTAGTTTGTTTTGTAATGGAGCATACGCAGCTCTTTGGCATCTGAGACATTTGTACTTTTTCTGGAATATTGTAGATGCAGGTCTTTTAGCTTACATTCAAGTTGCAGGGTATCAACAGTATGATTTCTCTTCAAGCATTCATTAAGGAAAACGTTTGCAATTTCAATAACTATAACCGTGTAAGTCAATAAACTATAATTGTTGATAAGAATGTTTTGACAGTAGATCCCAGGAGGTCTAATATGTGATGCTTAACTAGTTTCCCTTGGAACAGTAAATCATGTTTGGGCTAATAAGCTCTTTGACAGCTAATATACGGCATAGATAAATAGCATTTTGAGCAGTGACTCTTCAGTTGGGTATTATGTTCTGGTTTAGTTTATTGTACTGCATAATTACATTTCTTATAGCCATCTATAATTTTTCATTTTATCCATATTTCCTATTTACCAACATTTAGTAAGCAATAATTTTGACTTCATTGAATTGGAACCTTCCTCTACTAAGTATTATTCAAATATAATGCAGTTTTAAGGGACAAACCTCAAAAGCACATCTGTCTCTTTGAAACACACAACATCATGCACTCCAGATAGCGCTACTCTCCTGATCTTTTGGAGTCATATTCCATGAAGCAAGTGATGGACGTTCTAACCTACATTTAACTTGCTATTATAAAATTTTATTGTTATTAGTTTCAAATTTTCATTTTGATTCCAGTTGTTTTATAAGTTGTAGTTTATGGGATTTAAACATTTGTAAAAGATATTTCTTTTTCCACATTTTGGTAGCCACCAAGGGTCTATAGATGTGGATGGGTTATCAGTCTAAGAAATAAGTAGTTGAGTTGACAAAATTGACAAACCTGAGCATGGGTTTTCCATCCAGTATTTACTCTCAACTGTGTCCCAGGCAAGGGAAATTTTAAGCAGAGAGTCTTGGACATAAGTTCCAAACTGACATGGTTTGATTTGTTAAAAAAAAAATCTTTATATTGGTTGGCTAAGAACAAAATGGTTTTACAATTTGAAAAGAACTTGGCAATGAGTTTGACACAATTCTTAAGAAGGGCCTGTGCTAGAACATGATTTGAGTTATTGGATTTCATCACCAAATATGGGCACTTCTACCATCTGCCATCATGAGAGGATGTGTATATGTGGTACCCCAGCTATCAAAGATATTGTGCATGTTTTGTTTGACTGTCAACTGCATGCCTCTTTTAAGCTTAGATATTTAAAATACTTCAAAGGATGGATAACAGCAAATAGACAAAAACAAAGTGAGGGAGATGGGTGGTTTCTAAATTTGATAAATAATTAAAATAAGATAAAATAAATAAAACCCCTACTTGAAAGAACAAGAGCCCACTGGGATCTGAACTGCAGATTGCCCTGTTTCCTCCAGGGATCAAATGTATACATTGTGAGCAGATGTTATATTTATCTGAGTTTTGTATTTACCACATTTCTATTTTATTACTTTATCTAGAGTTAGCTCCTGTGCAGAATTTTATTTTTTGTATGGTAGTATGACTAACCAATTAATAAAAATAAAGAAAAAGAAAGAGGAAATAATAATAAAATAAAATAAATAATACGTAATATATAAATAATAATCTCGATAGCGTAGGATTATATTACTAACTGGGTAATTTTTGTTTGACATAATGTTGTAAGTTGTAAAGTTAAAAGGTCAGTAAGAGTTTATTCTGTCTCTGATTCAACACAGCTTGCTTGCTTGCATTGACTGGTGTAAAATTCCTTTGTATTGCATTGTTATTGTTTAAGAGGAAGCAGTGTTACAACTCTAATTTGTCTAATTTGAACACCAGAATTCTAGAGTAAGAGTTTAATGGGTTTTAAAAGATTGTGGCGCAGTTTCACATACCTGAATGGAAGCTCATGTACACATTTTTCAAATAGCAGCAGCAGCAGCAAAAAAGAAAAAAAAGTCCCCTAACTATTTTTAGACCCTGTGTCCTCATGAGGAAGCTAAAATTTGTCCTCAGTTGTTGTAGTTCTAAAACAATGTCTTTCGTTGTCTTCTGGCAGACAAATAGTTTGCAATACTTCATTCATGATCTCGGTGATGAAATTGTGAAGGGTTGGTTCCGTACAGGGGAGTATGTTCCTGTCAAAACTAATGATGCTTCTTTCTGTGGAACCGGATGGCTTTTGAAGCCAAACCTACTCTCATCTTGCTGGGATCAAGCCTTTCCTCTTCAGGCCCTAAGTCTCCAGATACTGCGACAGCACCTCAGTGGGAATCATCATTTTGCCTGAGGTTAGAATGTAAAACTGGGTAACAGCAGCAAACTCTGGATTCTTGACCGTATTGATTTGCCCAGCAGCTACATGTAGCTGTTAAATAGGAACAAGGAGTCCTGGTCCAACCCCTGGTCCACCTCCCTGTATAATATCTGACTCATTCTTTGCAAAGCATACCAGGTGTCTGGAAAATCACTAAGCTTGTTATTAATCACATCTTCGCTTTCAAAAGTTCAATAGACCTATCTGTAAAAGCACAGGGCTGCAAATTGATTTAAACCGTGAGAGTTGCTCTTCTGGTTTTGCCCCAAGGGACGGCAAGAATTTTTCTGCTATCTCTGCTGGGACTGGTTTTTGCATGGCTCTTGCCTTTGAATGTTTTCATTTGAAAAGGGAAATAGTGATATTTTTTTCAACATGCTGCTGTCCACCACCAATATAGATAGTCCTTGACTTATGGCCACAATTAGGCCTGGGATTTCAGTCACTAAGCAATGCAATTTGTTAAGCAGGTCATCATGTGACTGGACTCCATTTTATGACCATTTTTACCATGGCATTAAGCAAACCACCACTGTTGTGAAGTGGTAGTTTAATGTAGCCATTAAGTGAATCAGGCTTCCCCAATTAACTTTGTTTGTCAAAGGCTACCTCAGGTCACAAATTGCGATCATGTAATGCTGCAAGATGTTGCAACCATTGTATATGTGAGCAAGTTGTCAAGCATCCAAAATGTGACTATGTCACTGTGGGAGTGATTACCTTGTCCAAGGCAATCATAACTGAACCATTGTCAAAGGAAAAACAAAACTATCTGCAACTGACAGCACTGCCATTTCCTGCAGCAGAAGCTCCTGAAACTCTGTAATTGTCCCCTTCTGTCCAAGTGGCAGAAGAACACTGCCACCTCACTCCCCTTCAGAAATCACTCCTGAAGGGAAACAGAAAATTGAATAATTTGGAAAAGAACGCAGAATTATAGGAGAGGAGTTGAAATAAAAGGCAATTGAAATGTAATGGTAAAGGTAGATGGAAGATAAAAATAGATTAAAAATGATGTAACTGTTAAATATGATGACACAAAGATTGTACCCAGATGATACACTGTAAGATTAATGATATAAGAGTGGTTATGGAAAAATAAAAATAAAACTTTTCAAAAAAAGGAAAAAGAAATCACTCCTAATCACCCAGGCACCCATGACTTGCACTTATCCAAGGCCATCCCCATTATACTTCATTGCGATTGGTTGGGTGGTGATTGTCCCAATGGCACCAAACATTGGATTGGAGAAAAACAGAGCCAAGAGAATACACCCACACTAGCTCTGAGTTGTAAGATTGATGTAGCAATCTGGTATAGTGGTTAAGAGATCAGGCTAGAAAATGGGAGATCATGAGTTCTAGTCTTGCCTTGGAGTCAAAGCCAGCTGCCAGTCACTTTCTCTCAACCCTAGGAAGGACGCAATGGCAACTGTTGTTCCGCTTTGAAATTATTTACTCATTCTGATTTACTCTTAATATCTTATGTCACATCATTGTTCCCAGAAGCAAAAGATACGAAATACTTGGGCTACTCTCTTATTAAATTACAAACACAATTATTCTGTGGAACTAAGAAACTAATATTTAGTTTATTATTGGAAATTAGGTTTTTTTGGGGGGGCTACATCCTGAAATTGTAGAAAAAGGAAGGAATGGGAAATCTTCAGAAAAAGATACTTTTGTCAGTCTGGTATATGCCCGCTGTGGCAGTACCAGGAAAAACTGTATTAACCTTTTTGTGTTTATAGATTGTCATTCAATTTCTTGCTCAAAATTACATGAATTAATCTGTTGTTATTGTTTTTTTTAGGAATTAAATACTATCTATTACTATCTTCATGGAATGGATTCATTATCTCATCTCAGGGAGCATCAGTTAAGGTAAGGGTGGCTAATAAATGAAAATGGGATGTTTAAATATGCTGTTACAATGTCCATCTTATACAGTTAGGTTTTCATAGCATGGGTATTTTGATATGCAAAGTAATGTATTTTAATGGTTACTTTTAAAATATTAGGACAAGAGAAAAAATTAAGTATTACACAATACAAACATGTAATATATACCCTTTTTCAGTTTTGGAGAATTTTCTAAATCATGGAATACAACAAGCAGTAAACGACAGAGAAGTTTGCAGTTAAAAACAAAATAAAAACCCTTCCTCCCAGTTCTGTAACAAATTAGCTGGAGCTGATTCTGCAATCAATGGGGCTTATTTCTGGGCAATTATAATGTACTTCAGGCCTCACTACAAAGATAGAACTTTTGAATTTGCTTTTTGGTGGATTGTTATAATTCTTTAAGTATAAAATGAGACTTCTCTCTTCTAGATGAGATATTTTGCATGATCCTTTAAGAAATTGAAATATTACAAAATCTGACATAGAAATGATTATTTCTAGCAAGATGTGAATGTTATATGATGATGCTTAAATTTTTGTTCTCAGAATTATGACTTCCACTGCACGTTATAAAAGATATGATGGAAATCAAGTTTTATTTTGGTAAGTACATTTAATCATTACTTGAAATGAAAATGTCAGACAAAACATATAACTGGAATTAGAAGAATCATATTTATATCTTTGTAATGCTTTTTCAATTTATAATCCAAATAAAAGATCCAAAGAAATTAGACTATCCACAAACTTAAATTTATAATTGACACTCAAGATCTGGAACAGAACTCATGTGTTTCACGTTCTCCTGAGTGCTTCCGGGAGAGTGCAAGAAGGAGTTGTCTCATCTGTTCTGCTTAGAGACCGAGCTGTCAACTTTGTGGCCACGCCCTGTTGTCACCCTCTCTGGTCCAATTTCAGCTCGGTCTATGCTTAGACCAGACATGTCAACTTGATTAGGACTTCTTGCACTCTCAGGAACAGGTTTTTATACCAATTTTATCACGATTCAGATTGACACTCAAGATCTGGAACAGAACTCATGTGTTTCACAAGTTTTATCACTCATTCAGGGTTCAAAAGCCTTTTTTCTGCACATGTATGTTTGGACAGATAACATAGTGAATAAGAAAACATTCTTGAAGAGCTTTAATTGGGAGTTCTTGATAGAAGAAGCACTTTATGTATTTGTTTGTTTTCTTTTCTTTTTTAGCTCTGATACTATTGCAAGATGCTGGTATATTCTGCTTTCTGGATCTGTGCTTATGAAGGATTCTATGTTTTTGCCACCTCACAGGTATGTAAGAAATCAGTGTTTACAAGGAAAAATAAGTAATCTTGATAACTCACTTAAATACATATAATTATGGTGAGAAAAATAAGTTTGTACACTTAATCTATTTTTTAAAATTCATAGACAATATTTAATTGAAAATAATGGATTATAAAATCAAATTTATATCACAGTAATAGACCAACATAGGACCATAACATAGCATAAAGCATGCATGTATTTGTATAGTGCATGCAATGCTGAATTCTTGGTGTTTGGGTGAAAATATATTGCTTGCAAAGTAGTCTCTAGATTAGAGTAAAACACCTAGAATAAGGTGCATACTTGGTAAAACTGGGCTTTGGTTGTGCTTATAGAGCCGAGGTGGTGCAGTGGTTAAATGCAGCACTGCAAGCTACTTCAGCTGACTGCAGTTCAGCAGTTCAGCTGTTCAAATCTCACCGGTTCAGGGTTGACTCAGCCTTCCATCCTTCCGAGGTGGGTAAACTGAGGACCCGGATTGTTGGGGACAATATGCTGACTCTGTAAACCGCTTAGGGAGGGCTGAAAGCCCTATGAAGCAGTATATAAGTCTAACTGCTATTGCTATTGCTATTATGACCTATCAGCAAAATATACCAACAATTCAGCAAAATATACCAATAATTTAGTATTGTGTCTTGGTTCAGATTAGTAATGGAGTCTATTTATTTATTATTTTACAAAAAACAACATGAAAATAGAGCTTTGCATAATATTGCTTGATCCCAAAATGGAATAATGTGATTGATATGTACATATGTAGTTCAGTTTTTAAAAGGAAGAAAAATATTTGATTTAAATTAATATTTTTTCTATAGTGTTTTAAATTAAAAATCTTATCTATAATCTTATCAAAAGATTATAAATACAGATAATATTTTTAGTTAAGTCAGTAGAACTAAAGTGATTAAGCATGTTAATATTCTTTTAAAATAGTAACTTAAATACCATTTATAATAATTATAGAATAATTCTCATTAAGGTAAGTAAGCTCTTATCTCACTTTATAAAAAGCTGCTACTATTTGCTACTATAATCAGATAATTAGGAGTTCTGATTTTTTGTTTCTTTCCTGGTTCACATATTATGTTAAACCATGGTTTGCTTAATCAGGTTTTTTGGATTAAAGTACAGTTGGTTGAGTTTATACATATGCTAAGCCAAAATCAAGTAAATCACATTTTGTGTTAGTACAAGTGGTTAACCAATTCTTGGTTTCTTATCTACAAATTCTTCATAAGATTAATTGTCAAGAGGGCTTGCCCTCTTTGTGTGCAAATTTATTTTTAAGCTAACATATCTTAGTTTCTCTTTATCACATGGCCCAGAAACTTACTTTATAGCATATCAAAAGGAATGTATTCAAAGAAATTCAGTACAATCCTAAAATAGAACGCCTGCCAAATACAGTTGCAAGTAATCAAAGAAAGATTATGTATTTAAAAACTTATATTTGTAAAAGTCAAGATACTAAAAATGAGAGCATTGTTATAACAACCATGACAATAATTATTTACAAAAAACATAAGCACGCCTTAAAGTATGTAGCTTATGATCTCTTCTATTTTAAAGGAAAATAAAAAACCCCAGAAATGTTTCCCACAAATGAAAGACTCAGCATTGTTTTATCTTCTGTGATGTCAATGGTGTTTACAAAATTGACTGTGGCATTGTAGGAAGTTAGCACCCACCCCTCTCCTAGAAAAAGGAAATATTTTAGGAAATATTAAAAGGGCAGAATATTTCCCGTAAAAGGAGAAGGGAGTGAAGATAGCGGGCACTATTTTGAGACATTGGTGGCCACCTCACACTGCGGAGCCAGGTGAGAACTTGAGCGGGGGATAGGCCGCTCATTTGCTCTCTTCTCTCATCATCGCCCAGGGCTCAATCCTCTTGAAAAGGCCAGCAGAAGCATTTCGGGAACAAATCCCTTGCCACAAGATGTCCTGGCTATGGCGGATGGCTTTTGGGGCCTTGCAGCCACAGCAAGCAAAGATCTTCAGCTCCTCCCCAACAAGGGGACATTGCAGGGACCTTGGGATCATGGTCCCTTCCCATAGACTGTTTCTGGACGTCATTCAATGACAGTGGACCTTCCCAGGGTCAGGTCCTTTCCCCTAACAGTCTGGACAAAAGGGTCTATAACATAGGCCCGTATCTTGCCAAGGTTCAAGAGGTGCTAACTGTTGATGCCCTGGTAGCAGCCCCATCCTCCTCAGTCATGACAAGGGCCTTTGAGGAAGCCCTCCGCCTGGAGGACAAGAGTTCTGAACAAACTTTAGTCAAGAGCCATCAGGCTGCTGCATGGCCAGTAAGAGCCTCCACGGTGTCATCCTTCAACAGACCTTCTGGTTGAAGCAATTGCACAGTAGATTTCCCTCATTAACATTAAGAAGCTGAAGGCGGCAATGGAGTTCTCTGCAGATGCATCCCTGAACGCTGCTCGGTTCGCATCGAAATCCATTGCATCCTCGGTGGCGACCAAGCATCACCTCTGACTGAGACAGTGGCAGGTAGATGCCAGAAATAAGTGGAGGCTATCCTCCGCCCCCTTTTCAGGGGATTGGCTATTTGGAGCTCCCTTGGAACCTCATCATGTCGAATCTAAGGATAAACGTAAGATACTGCCATACCTTTACTGAAGGTGTAAGCCTCGCCTTCTCCTTATTAGCGATGCTCACCTTTTTGAGGGATGGGCGTGGGATTCAACCTCCCCCGTCCAGAATGACAACTCCCCTCCAGACAGGGTCAGCAGCAGGACAGAGCAGGCAGGAGTGGCCAGCGCTTCCCACCCAAGAGAACCTTCAGGGGTGGGGGAGGTCGCCTGGAGAACCTTCCCATAGAGGGCCGATTAGCCACCTTTGCCAACTGATGGATGGAGATAACTACGGATGCCTGGGTCAGGGAAACAGTGAAATTCAGCCTTTCCCTAGAGTTTCTCTCCTACCCCCCAAGGTTTTTCATCAGATGCCCCATACCTCGTGATTGTGGAAAGAGGCTCCTCATGGAACAAGCCATCCAGCACCTTCCAAGTGATCCAGCCAGTTCCACAGGAGAAAGAGGGGCAGGGATTTTACTCCCTCCTGTTCATCGTCCCAAAGACCTTGGGGGGGCTGGTGAGCGATTCTAGATCTTAAATGCCTGAACTGCCCCATTGTCTACTGGCGGTTCAAGATGCACTCACTTCTGACCATCCCAGAGGGCGTCTGGAGGGGTGATTTCCTTACATCAGTAGATCTCACAGAGGCATATCTCCTTGTCCCCATTCTCCTGGCCCACAGGCAGTTTCTCTGCTTCCACTATGCGGGGAAGCATTTTCAATATAGGGCCCTCCCCTTTGGCCTTTCATTGGCCCCGAGAGTATTCACCAAACTGTTAGCAGCAGTAGCGGCCCATCTCCAGACCAGTCCAGTCAGGATCCAGGGCTATCTGGATGACATCCTGCTTCAATCCAGATCAGCAGCCCAGGCAGAGAGGGACCTAGGTATTATCCTTCAAAACCTATGGGACCAGGGGTTTTCCATAAATCTCGACAAAAGGCACCTCACTCCCACAACAAGCCTCTTTCATCTGGGGACGATAGACACTGCAGAGGGCCTGGTCTACCTGTCCCAAGAAGCGTCAGGCCAGCCTCTGATACCTGACAGACCATGTAAAGATGGTACAGCAGATCTAGCTACTTCTGCTCTCCCGCCTTCTGGGGAAGATGATGTCCTGCTTCTCAATTGTCCCATCGGCTCGGCTCCACAGCAGATGCCTCCAATGGTTTCTTCTCCTGCATCAGAGGGCTTGCAGGAGTTGCTCGACAATCATAGTGCAGGTACCACCAGAGGTAACCAGGACTCTGGGGTGGTGACCCTGGCCATCTCCAGGGGTTCATTGTTCAGGGACCCGGATCACCTGACACTGGGTAACATTGGATGTCAGCTTCTTCGGCTGAGGGGCTCATTTACAGTCAATAATGGCTCATGGTCAGTGGTCCCAGTTGGACCTGAGCCACAACAAATTGGCTGGAACTTTGGGTGGTCCGGCTGACCCTTGTCCACATTCAAGACTGTGTGGCCAACAGACGCATCCTGGCCCTCATGAACTACATGGCCACAAAGGCTCATATCAACCGCCAATGGGGCACACGTTCCAGGTCCCTCATGCGGTTCTCTGGACTCACTGGCTCAGCATCTCTTGATCCGACAGTTCTGCAGGGTGCTACAACTTCAGGCCCTCGGTTGTCACAGATTTCCAACATGGGATTTGACCAAAGGGCTGAATTCCCTCACCAGGGCCGCCTTCGAACCCCTGAGTACCACCTGCCTCTGCTACCTTTCCATGAAGGTGGCATTCCTGGTGGCTATCACATTTCCTGGTGGCCATCACATCCGCCAGATGGGTGTCAGAACTCGCAGCCCTGTTGGTATGGCAAGACCTCCATTTGGATAGAGTGGTGTTGAGACTCTATCCCTCTTTTGTCCCAAAGGTCAACACATGGTTCTACAGAGCTCAAGAGCTGGTGCTTCCGAACTTTTGCCCCGAGCCGGTTCATCTTCGATATGTTGCATGGAGGCATTATTCATATCCTTTCACCCAGCGACGATGGTGGGCAAAGCAACTCCTTTTCTGGGTCGTTGGATATGAGCCTGCATAGCGAAAGCCTACGAAGTGCAATCCATTCTACCACCACAAAATATTACAGCTCACTCCATAAGGAATACTGCTGCGTCCACGCCGTGGGCAACACAGGCCTTGCTAAAGGAGGTTGGACTGCCACCTGGGCCTCTCCGCCTTATCCTCCATTACAAATTGGACAGCTACGCATTGGTGGACACTGCCTTTGGCAGGCGGGTTTTGCAATGGGTTCACACAGGCCAGGGGACTTCAGTCCGGACAACAACCCACCCTTGAGGACAGGCCAGGCTTTGGTATGTCCCATTCCTGGATGCTATCTCCACCAACTATGGAGAATGGGCATTGTTCTTACCTGAGAT